TGACTTTATTATGATGGAAATGGAATTAACTTATAGCATTCTTTTTTATTTCCTCATAAGTAGAATCTATCATACTCTCTGTGTATATATCTTTCCTGACACTATGAGGACTCCATCAGCATTGACCTACCTATTTACGTATCACGATCATAATCATCTTTGGAGACCATCTCGATGGACATTTGAGCAGATTACAGGAACCCAGGTTACTGCAGACCTTGGTGACTTATACCTTGGATCAGATGATGTGATTTTTCATGTTATTTCATTATTTATATCTTAATTATTATATTAGTTATTTGCTCTTTAGAATTATTTTATTTTATTTATTGTATATTTGTAGAATGTTGATGTGATTTAATTTTATATTTATGATTTACTTTATTTCATTTTATAAATAGTAAAACTTACGTATACCTACATTACTTCAGTTTTATATAATATTAATTTATCATATCTTATCTTTAATTAATTATATAATTATACTAACAATTATTCAAGACATGTTTCCTCTTTAATTACTAACTAACTAATCAATTAACTAATATAAATCAAAAATATTTTATTAACGCAACAATTTATAATGCTAACATGTAGTAACTCTATCTTTCTACATTATAAATTGTTAAAACCTATATGAATTAATGTTACCTTAGATTTCATACACCATCGATATATTAAAAAATTAAATTTAACTTCTAAAATTAATCAATTATATGATTTTTTTTTAAAATTTTCTTTTATTTAAATTATTAAATAATATAAATTGGTAAAACTCAATGATATTCTTCTCTAATTTATCTTTTATATATATATATATATATATATATATATATATATCTAATTTAAGTATACTTTCTAAAGATTTATTTTTATTTTCATGATTAATTAAAAACACACCGTCTCAATTATTTTTCTATTCTTTACTAGAATATAATTTATTTATATACTCATTAACTAATTAAATTAAAAAAATTTCATAATATTAATGCAGCAATTTATAGTGTTATTGTGTAATATTAAAACTTTTGTGTACTAACGTTACTTTGAATGTTGTACGATATAAATTTATCAAATAATTTTGTAATCTTTTTATTAAATAATTTCTTTTTTAATCAATTCAAATATACTTATTCCTTTCATTGAATTGAATTAATTTCATATTTTAATTTTTCTTAAGACATATTTTTAATTTTAATAAATTAAATAACCAAATATTTTTATTTTATTACATAATTTTTTGAAACATCAATGTGTAGTTTATATTGCTTTCGATTGGCCAATAAATTATAAGAGATTTATATATAACTTATGGTATCTTAAATTCTCTTTCAATATAAATCTTTAAATTCAAGTATAAATTCAAGATTTTTTCATTTACAAATAAAATATTTTTTAAAATTATTAAATTATTTTTAACGATTTGTAATATAGCTAAAAGACCTCTCTTCTTCTTTTATATTGTCCATCGTATAATACATATATAACTACATTATCTTGTATCCTAAATGTTACGATCTTATAAAATTAATTTTAATATCAAAATAAACTTTTCTTTACTAAATATAATTTTAATCAATCCCTTTTCAGAATTTGTATAATCGAATTATGTAGCTTTAAGTTCTTCATTATACCTAAGGATACATAAGAGCAGGCTCTTTCTTTTAATATCAATTAATATTTGTAATATATAAACAAAAGGGTAAAATATAAATATAGTAAAATTTTTGTTTTAGATTTAAATAAATATTTTTAAAATTATAATAAATTTACACAATTAATTTAAGATAATCGTTATTTAAACAAACATATTAGAGAGCTAATTCCTTTCCTATAATTTTAAAAAATATAGGTTTTTTTATTTCAAAGATCATATTATTTAAAAAAAAAAATTTAAAGTTTTTTTTAATAAACATTGGTAGCAACTACTCTAATTTTTTAAAAAATATTTTTTTATTCTTAAAAGATTTTTTCTTAACATGTTTTTGGGGTATGTTGTGACCCATGATTGCAAGAGGGATGAGAGTTTGAAATTATTGACTAGCATGGTTCAAATTTGTGATCCACAATGCGTACAAAATGGCTTTCCAAAGGAGCTAGCAACTATATATCCATATTTTCTCAACCAACTAAATGGGAAATTTTGAATAGTTAGTGGGGTAGGGCAGATTTCATAATTTACATGTGTTTTTCTATTCATCTATTTTTTTACATGCGGAATAAAATTCTTAATTTCTTGGTCATTCTATTTTTTATATAACAAGAAGAAAATGCAAAAATCAAATCAATAAAGCTTGTTATTTCATTGCCAAGCCAACAAAGGAAGATGAAGAAAAAAGGTTAAGAACCATTGTTAGAATGGAGAAAGGGAAATGAGGAACACAAGAGAAAAAAATTATAAATTTATGGACTTTTTTTTGTGATATTAACTTTTAGATAATAAAATAGTAAAAATAAATAAATGACGTAATAAAGATAATTGAATTTTTATTATCTAACTTATCACTTAATAGACCTCAACAGTAAAGATTTATCATTTTAAAAATGTCTTAGACTAAATCTTAAAAAAAAATTTAAGGATAAATTCTAAATAATGCTACTTTCATAAGAATAAAAACATAATTAAGTATAATGTTAATTATAAGGTTGTCACAAAAATTTTGGCAAATAGGTTAAAGACTGTCTCATTTCATATATAAAAACTAATGTTGTTTTATCTTTAATAGACAAAGAATTAATAATGTAATTATCCTTTAAGAATAAATCCATTCATTTAATAGAGAAAAAGGTAAAACAAGTAAGTTATATGATATCCAAACTTCATTTGGAAATAGCCCATAACAGGCTTAGTTGTTGTTTTTTTATTTGTTTATATTTTTTAAAAGGTTAGCTTAAATTCTAAATTCATAAATCTTTTTACCATTGTATTTCTTCTTTCTTTTATGTGCATAAATTGGAATAATAACATTTATGATGTATTTTGTCCTTTTAGAGGTATTAGGTAAGGGAATCTGTTTTTTTTTTAATATATAATTTTGTATTATGTGTATGGAGAGATTAACTCATGTAATAAAGGCTAAGATTTTTTTTATTATTGTTTCCTTTTTCATTTCATAATTAGAGTAAAAAACTTTTTATTTTTTTTTACTAATGGCATCATTCTAACAACTAAAGCCAATTTGCAACAAACTAACACCATTGTATCAGTCCTTAATGATTTTAATACTTCCTCAAGGCTGAAGATTAATAAGGAGAAGTCCAATTTGTCAATTTTTTTGTTCAAATAACATTGATTGTAATCTAGTTAAGGCTATTAGTGATTCTCTGAGAACTAAATCTTCTATTTATTTATGTATTCCTATACAAAATCATAGGTCTTTTAGACATATTTTTCTTATTTAATTAATAAGATTAGGAAGAAGTTATCTTTATATGAGATGAATGATCTTTAGCTGACAAGATATTTCTTGTTCAATCTAATATTGTTAGTATTCTTAATTATACTATACAAACTCAATTAATTTATATTTCTGTTTGTGATGAAATTAAGTGTATCTATAAAAGGTTTATTTGGGGTTCTATGAACTCTACAAAGTGTCATGTTATTACTCGGATTAAAATTTGTGCTCCTAAATTTGAGGGAGGTTTAAAGTTTTAAAAATATTCATATGTTAAATTCTCCTTTTATGATAAAATTTAGTTGAAGAATGATTATTTCTAAGGATAAAGTGTGGGTCAACGTCCTTAGGTCTAAATATAAGTTTAATCTGGTCATGATCCAATAATCGATAAATATGACCATGTTTCACATATTTAGAAAGGATTAGTTTCTTTCTAACCTTATTTATCCCGGGGGTCTGAGTTGGAATATAGGAGATGGGTTAAACGCGAAATTCTGGACGGATAGGAAATTTGTGAGATTAATAGGCATTGCCAATTCTTTGTTCATGAGATAGATGTTTACCGGTTGCCCTTTTTGCTTCTAATGGAGTCTAGATAAAGGATCAGCTCCCTCAAAACAGAATTCACAATCAAGTATAATGGCTGACCACTCACTTGAGCAGCGGAGTTTTTTTGTTTTTTGTTCTCCTGTCATTGATTCCCCTATGTGTGGAGTTTTCCCAATACTTTGTTGTTGAAGCATTCTTGAAAAGCCAATTGTAGCTGCATTGCTTGTGTACAAATCGGAATGACTCTTTTGAATTAATTTTTACCAGAATCCCAGTACACAACGATGAGTTCATTCGTAGATTACTTACTTCCCATGTAAACCCCTTTCAAATAATTAGTTCCAAATTTGGACGGTGTATTCCAAGTGCAGAGCGTTAGCGTTAGAGTGTTACGTACATTGTCCTTGTATGTCCTGTGTGCTGCATTACTCATCATCCATTTGGCATCCAATATATCTTCAAATTAGTCCTCAAAATTACATTAGTAAAACATTTAAGGCTCAATTTTAAAATCTTTCATTAATTCCTACCTTTACAAAAAAAAATTCATTCTAATCAATTTTTGCGTACAACATGTAAAACAAAGTGAAAAAAACTAAATATCAATAACTAAAATACATGACCATGCAATAGTTTACTCTTTATCATCTCCTGAACGTTTTATTTATTCAAGCACGGCAATTGGATCGACAATTCTTACTAATCCTTATGAGCTGGGTAGTGAATGATATCCGATGATTCAACGAACCGATTCTCCTCGTAATGGAAGAAGTTTAGCCTTGTAGGCTTTCTTTATATGCCGAACCTTCGCATAGGCAATTTACTGTCCTTTTAAACCTCAAAACATGAACGATGTTTGACTTTAAAAACTGTTGAACTTGTTCAAGTATTATTTGTTAGTATTAGTTTCAGTTTTAATTACAAATAATTAGACTTCATTTTGATAATCCCCGTTCTGATATTTGCACCTTAACCATCAATCTGAACTGGTTTTTTGTGGCAAAATTAGTTCATAACGTCAAAACCGGTTCAAAATCGATTCACAGAATTAAAAATCAGTTCGAAAACCAAAATTAAAATCAAAACCGATTCACCAAACCACAATAGTCAGTTTGATTTGGTTCTCTCAAAAACTAACAACTTCAATTAGCTTTCCATGCTCACCGAGACCAGTAGGCCTACAGGGAAGTGCTCCAATTGAAACATCAGAAAACATAGTTGCATATTAAAATTAATCCCCTTATGAATTGATTCAACTCCACTATGAGGAACATATGCAACTGCGGATACATTCAATTACACATCCCTCATTATTTTATTTATCAATTTCACGAATAATAAGCTGTATGACAATTTTAACCTAGGAAGCATACAAGAACTGAACTGTAAGCTATTTCCATAAATTCTTCTAAACAGGGCTTAATTGTAAACATTAAAAGCAGTACACAAAATTAACATTCTCAAAACCTCAATTAATAGAATTCCATAATCCCGAAAGCAAGCTATTCACCATCTCAATAACTAACTTCATCTGAAAACATTGTCGGTCTCCATTCAGGCAGCAGAAGCAAGATAAAGTAAAAGCGAAAAGCAGCAAAACAGAGCAGTAACAATTGCAGTATCTTAAAACTGGAAGCTAAAATCCATCAATACCTCCTGGAAAAGGGGAATGATTGTTGAACAGGGACAGGGTCAACCTGCGTGATGCCAGGCATATCATTGAATCCGAGGGAATTGAGCATTTCGAGGGTTTCCTTGTCGACTTCGATGTGGTCGGTGTTAATGGCGGAAACGTCAGGTACAAAGTCCATGCGGCGTTCACGCTCCTCTTCCTGAAGCTTGAGGGAGATGCCGCGAACAGGACCCTTTTGGATGCGCTTCACGAGGTGCGTGGAGAAACCCGCGATCTTGTTGCGGAGCCTCTTTGATGGAACGATTGCAACTTCTTCTAGAAGCTTCTTGTTCGTGTGGAAGTCGAGGGTCATCTTAGAATAGTATCGTTCTATCACTTGCCTTGAGGATTTCTTCACCGTCTTCGTCCTCACGCGCCCCATCTTGCCCCTGCTTCGCTCTCTCTACCTGCAACAACGCACGCAGATATTGGGGTTCAGAAGAAAAACATGCTGTCAAGTAGGGTTTTGTTCTTTTAGTGGGTCGGGCTTGGGCTCCCATGTAAATGGCCCATTTAGTGCGCCCAGTTTAATTTGGACTAAAAGTGGCCCAAAATAATTAGAAGGGTGTGGTTCGCGCTTCTCAGTACTCCCACTTCTCGTTGCGCAAAAACAAAAGGTGAGTACAACTTTTTACCAAAAAAAAGTAAAAAGAGTACACCCACTACTCTGAATCAGTTAATAGTAGTAACACCTCTTCTATTTTTTTTATAAGGTATTTTCAAAAATATAATAATTTTTGTTATAACACATTTAATAAATTGTTAGCGGATATAAACTGATGGTATACAAAATTAAATTTTCAAGCAACAAGAATTTTAACTATTAACCGTGTAAATAAAAAATTAAAATCACATCAAGTAGTGTTACATAATCAAGTATAAATGTGTTTTGAAATTATTTTTCTAAAAATGAAATTCATTAAATTTGTCATTTATATTATTTAAAGTTTTTATTTTTACTTGTTTGTGGAACTGTTTTACTCATACTATCATTAATGAGCTTTAAATCAATCAATAAACTTAGATATTACATCCAACCTAAAATTATAAAGCTATTAGAGTGTGTGTTCATCTTTTCCCTTCGTACATAACGTGAGACTTCTTCACTCATATTTATTAATTTAACATGTTCCTATTGAATGTGAAATTTCTTCACTCATATTTATTACCTTAATATGAACAATACCAATGAACAAACAACTAAGACTTGTCTAAAACTGACAACTAAACGAGCAAAATTAATTTTAAGTTGGATCGGATAACATTTATTATTGGTTTTAAAATTCAGTTTTGGTTGGGTAAAGATGGTCATATTCAATTTTCAAATTTGCTCCAATTAAAACTCAAATCCAACTAACATTGAGCTTACTGAGTATATGCATGACATTGTTCAAAAGGAACTTGAAAATTCATTTTGAATTTTAAAATCTGAAAAAGAGGGCTAAGAGACTAAGAGGTATAGTTGTAGAGAGGGAATGGCTCAACTTTTTAAAAAACCCTAAAGCCTAGAAAGTTCTCCCATTGACATATCTTATTTCTCGTTCTTAAACTTTCATCTCATGTTATCCCTTCTCAATGTGGCATGCGCCACTACCAAGCTATGAAGATTTTCTCTTTTGTCTGATATATTTTTACATTACTTGCATTCATTTTATCTTTCTTCTCACTTCCTTTTCTCTATATTGTGTGGTCTTGCATTATTGTTCACAAGAGTCTCACTCATTATATTTCTCTGATTTCATACTTTGTTTTTCTTGTTACAACTTGATTGATTCCAAGCTTATTGCTTCAATACTAATCTAGCTACTATGACTTCATTGTTATGTGCCTTGGTCTTTTTGGTACAAAGAAGCAGGAAAAGAAAATAAAGGGAAGAAAACTCAAATATTAGGGAAAAAAAATGCTAGAAATCATACGAGGCAAAAAAAAAGAGCCAAGTTTTGAGTCTAATGTATGTGAATCCACCTCTCCAACTCGAGAGATGTTATGGTCATAATTGATTCTTATTGTTAGTTGTGTCGATTTGTTTTGATTTAGAGTTTTTTATTCAAATTTGATTGGTGTCTACATTAATGAACAATGTTTTATATAGAGATTTTAAAGTTTGTATTACATCACATATTAGCCATGACTAATATAATTCACGACGACTAACATTAAAGATTAATGTGATATTTTAAAAATCTTAAAAATTAAATAAATGAGCACATACAAAATTGAGAGACGAAAGTGAATTTTCAATCTATATAGAACTTTTAAATTATTGTATGACAATTAAATAATTTTTAATTTTAATCATCTAGGGATAGTAACCTTATTGGATAAATCCACTAACGGGGACCTTTAATACATATAGGCTACAGATGAATTTAAGAAGACACTTAAACCAAAGTTATGAAGAATATAACTTTTAAAAGAGATGAATTTCTAGACAAAATAAAAAAAGAAGATGAATTTTTCTACCATGATAATTCATATCAATTATTAATTATGTCTTTCAACTAATATATTAAAATTCATAGATGTATATCATAACTAATTTATATGTTTATTATTTTATGACTTAATGATGTTTGTGGTCATCATAAAAGTAATATTCTTTGGAGTTAATCTTTAAAAGAAATTGTTATAATTTAGTTCTTGACATTTGTAGAATGTTTGTAATTAATCTCTATTATTAACTAAGTTATGTTAAATAATAAATTGATTAATAGAAATTTAACTGATAAATATCATGTCATTATTATTTTTAATATTTTATTATTTAAATATCAATATTTGTATAAAGATCCTTCAACATCTTCTTCAACCTCATTTGCTTTCTTTTGATTCTTCTATGTTAGTGTTGAAAGCGCAACAATCACAATGAAATAACTTCTCAAATGAAATCTATAAAGACATAAACAAAGTGCGCAAGCAAGGGAATCACGAAAAGAGAAAAAAAAAAGTGAAGTACAAATCTAGAGTTTTTCAAAATCATATAAACAAAACTGTGAATTTGAGATAAGGATTTGATGGGTATGGAAGAAAGAGTGGATGAAAAGGAATGAAAGGTGAAAGGTTTAATGGAGAAGACAACCAACTCCACCACACTAAAGGCCAATCCTTGCCTCCTGAAAACGGTTTGGTGAGAGATGTGACATTATCATCAATTTTCATTCGTTTTTTCTTTATGCATTCATCGTTCTCATTTCAATTTTTTAAAATTTTATTTACTATTTTTTAAAATTTCTTGTGCGTTCGAAATATAAGAGATGTGGCATTGCTGAAGAAAAAAGGGTTTGTGTTCATCAAGAAATTCTAATGAGATATTGGCTTTTTGAGCTTGATTTACAATTTTTGCTTTGAAATTATTGTAATCTGTATAAGCTAGGATGATTCCAGTTTCATGTTGCGTTACTATCTGTTATTATTTAGTGCGTTGGAACTTTGGAAAGTGGTAATATAGCAGCATTTAACTTCTCTTCAAAGTTTAACTATGTAAGAGGAATAAAGAGGAAACTATGTTGGCACTGCTGTTAAATATTTTTTATTCTGCAGGAATAATTGTCTTGTTTTATGTCTAAAGGGTCTTATTTTTAAGGAGTATTGTGAGGTCCTGGTTTTGAGGAAGAGTAAAGAGAGCGTGGGAGAGATAAGAGAGGGAGCGAGTTTAACGGTGAAGAGAGAGGAGGGAAAAAATATAACATGGATTAATTATTAATTTTTAAAATAACATAATTTTTTAGAGAATTTGTTTTTATTAATATTAACTTTTAAATTGTAAAATATTAAAAATAAGAATGATAATGATGAGTGGAATTTCTATTGTTCAGTGTATTATATATTCAGCTGATCACTTAAAGGATAATTAACAATAAAAATTTAATTTTAAATATTTTAAAAATATCAAGAGTAAAATTTAACAAGTGTTTTTAAAAAAATTAATTTCATGTACCACTATTTTTATAATTTTATTTAACTTACTTATTGTCATCACAAAGTTACATTATAGGTGATCTTGCCATATCAGAAAGGGGACCAACATAATTTTGTAGTCTCATGGTCCCAACGGATCATAGTATATCTCAACTTTTAAAGTTGTATTGATTATTTATAATTTATTGATAATATTTGATATTTCATAAATTATACACAGATTTTGAGATGAGGTGGAATCCGTCTCAATAAGCCTCAATGGAGAGCTAGGGTGTCATAGATATATGAAGCTGTGGGATACACCATGCTTTTAGGTGTAAGTAGATAGGGATGAAAAAAAGAAAGAAAGAAAAAACACATGTTTATGGAGATTTTAATACCAGATATATGCATTTCATACCCTTCTACCTGATTCAAGAGCCGTGGGCTTCAAGTAGCAATAGAAAGTGGGTGGACCAGTTGACAAAATTACGACAACAAATCATAATAAATTTCTATTTTATTGATTAATTTAATCTTTAATTTTACAAGAAAAATCATTTTAATTTTACCATTTTAATTTATTTTTTATATAAAAAGACTAAAATAATGTTGTTTTATAAAGTGAGAGATTAAAATGAAAAATTTATAAAGTCAGAGATTAAAATATTGAAACTTAGAAATTTGAAGGAGCAAAATAAATATTTAATCCAGCAAAAGAACATGTGGGAGTGCAGTGGAGGGCTCATGGTCATGGAGAGTAGCCTGTGTTGCCCCTTATTTAATTTACTGATGAACAGTTTTTCTTTTTAATTGGTTGACGACTATTGACTAATATCATGAATTCTCAAAAAAATTATGACTTTTACCCGTTAGTATAGCGACCAATTTTATTGTAATGAGTGTATTGCTACTCCTTTTCGTAAGATAAAAATAAATATTTGTACATTATTTACCAAAACTAACAAAGGAAAGAAAACAAGATTATACACCATAAAAAGTAAAATTTTATATCTTTTTATTATGATAATTTTAAAACTTTTCATGTAATATTTAATAAATTTTTAAGTTCAATCAGGAAATCCACTCGTAATACATACTTATTTCGTTTTAAAATATTATTATTTAAGGTTTTATGGAAACATATATTTATTAATTTTTTTATTTAATAAATATAAATTCAATTTAATATATTATATTTTAATGTTTTTATGACAGAAAAATGTAGCAATAAAATTGAAAACATGATTAATATCACTTAATTTTATTTTTTAAATTGATAAATAATTTAAAACAAACTTAAATATTTAAAATAACGATTATTTTGAAATTGAAGGGGCATTAGATAACTTATCTTAAACATCTTAAGGACTATCATCAAAGCACCTCAATATTATTAATTAAGGACTAAATATTATTATTTTTTAATCAATAGGGTCACACAAAGCCCAAAAATAAAACAACAAACTAGCCAACAAGTCTAGGCCAAAAGAAATTTAGAGAATAAAGCCTGAGAAGAGGTTCTAAAGGCCAAAGGC